AGGCGGCGGGACGCGGGGATTCGTCCCGCGGCCCCCGCCGCGGCTTGCAGCGTGCATGGACGGGGGAGCGGGCGGCAACTCGCGTTTGTTTCCGAGACTTTTCCCCTGTGAAACTGAAAGCTGCCTTAAAGAGAAACACGCAGGAAAGAAAGGACACCGGCGGCTCACCCAGCAAAACCGTTCAGTTACGGCACTAGCTTTCTACCCGGAGCAGTAGCCCAAGAGATCATCTTTAACTATTTAAAATCAAGATTAATCTCCAAATTCGCAAAGGTAGGAGAACACAAGCCAGTGCCGAAAATACTCGGCCCCACGTGCTGCCCATGTGTACTGTGAACTACAGGGCATCCCAGACAGGGAATCGCCAAATCACTTCCGAAGAGTGGCCAAATCACTTCAGAAGAGTGGAGCTATCTACAGCACCCCAGGTACGGACTGAGCGGGTTTAACTTTTTTTTTTTTTCTTTTTTTGACAGTGATGGAGCCATTGGATTCAACCTCCCGCTGGAAAAAAAAACCCCAAACCCAAAACAAACCAAAACAGCAGACAAGGATTCAAAGCAGATGTAGCTAAATAACTGCCCTGCACTGCACAAACGACCCTGTGCATCACACTCACTACATCAACTTTACTTTTTTCAAATGTATTATCACATGAGAAACTATAGGAAGTTTAACAAGATTTATCTCCCCTGCAGAAAACCCGACCTGCTTCAACTTGATCACCACACAAGCCAAAGAAAGAAATTAAACCAAAAAGAGCTGGTGTGGTATCACACTCTCCCCTCCCAGAGCCATACACAGTATCAAACCCAGCTTGGTTAGAAGGCAGTCCCAGGTATGCCGCAGGGACACGCTGCCAATGAACTACACCACTGCAGCTTTAGGTTTAAGAGTTTGCCAACAGTGCTAAGGAGAATGCTCACGTGCCGTGAGAAAGCTCAGCTCCCTGGGACGTGGCACACCAACGCTAGATAGAATCATAGAATCATTAAGGTTGGAAAAGACCTCTAAGATCATCAAGTCCAACCGTCAACCCAACACCACCATGCCCACTAAACCATGTCCCTAAGCACCTCATCTACACATCTTTTAAATACCTCCAGGGATGGAACTCAACCACTTCCCTGGGCAGCCTGTTCCAATGTTTAACCACTCTTTCAGTAAAGTTTTTCCTCACATCCAATCTAAACCTCCCCTGGCGCAACTTGAGGCCATTTCCTCTCGTCCTTTCGCCAGTTACTTGGGGGAAGAGACCAACACCCACCTCGCTACAACCTCCTTTCAGGTAGTTGTAGAGAGCGATGAGGTCTCCCCTCAGCCTCCTTTTCTCCAGGCTAAACAACCCCAGTTCCCTCAGCCGCTCCTCATAAGACTTGTTCTCCAGACCCCTCACCAGCCTCGTTGCCCTTCTCTGGACACGCTCCAACACCTCAACGTCCTTCTTCTAGTGAGGGGCCCAAAACTGAACACAGTATTCGAGGGGCGGCCTCACCAGTGCCGAGTACAGGGGCACGATCACTTCCCTGCTCCTGCTGGCCAAGATGAATCATGCAGGGGAAAAAGTGGCATGAAATAAGATACATAAACTTTGAAATTCAAATATACCTTTTTTTTTTTAAAGTAAACTTTACTGTAAACTGCTTCTTTACAGTAAACTGGCAATACCCTACTAAAAGATGAAACACCTTTTGCCCATACAAGAATACTGTGAGATTTTGAAAACTATTTTTATTTTAAGCATTCTGGAAGGTCAGTATTCAGTAACAGCAAATATAGGCATTCAAATTTCTCTCTCAATAACTAAAAGTAGGAAGAAAATATTAACCCTTGAGTGGCATTTTCTTGAAATCAGACTAACTTTTCTGTTGCCACTGGTACCTCAGGTAAGTCCAAAGCTGCAGTTATGGCCAGCGTGAATTACCTTCCTCCTCCCCTTTACATTTTGCATAACGTTCTGCTGGCAGAAAAGCAACACATTTCCAACCAAGGAAAAGGAAAAAGTCACACATGTGCATGAGAAATGCATGAAAAAAGTGCAGCCAGTAAATTTTGCCAATGGTACAACATTAATTTAGAAATACATACATCTTTAACTGCTTACACGTATACGCAGTATTTGTCTGAGTGGAGAGTGGGGACACACCAGCAATTTAGACCACGGTGGAGCTTCAGCATGACTGTGGTCAGGTACTGGCTCTTCAGCTGACGCACAACGAAAAGGGTGCGGGGAAAGATGAGAAAGAGGAGATGAATGAATGAATAAACGGATAAATATTCCGGATCTGGAAGCTGTGGAAGTGGGAAGTATTGCTTCTGATAAGCACACACAACCTAAGCTTCCTTGCTTCTCCTCTTCTCGTTGACCTTTTCTCACCCTTTTCACCATAAGCGAGGTGATAGTTGTCTTTTCTGTCACTCCCTCTCACTACGAAACTTCCAGCCTAACGTGTGACAGTATCCCATAATTGACAAAGGTTGCTCTTTCTGATTAAATTTTCTCCTTAATTATTAAGTTAATTAGGTGTCTTTTGATTTGTCCTTTCACCTCCCTCCATTCTCTGTTGCCTGTCTCACCTTTGTTAGTTGCTATTTCAGCAAGCACTCCCGATTTTTCTCATAAATAGCGATCCTTCACGACCCTTCTGCCCCCAACAACCCCTTCACTTTCTCGTCCATCAGACCACACCTCCTGCTTTCTTCGGCTTCCCTCCTCCCGTTCGTCGTTACACTCATGTCCTTCTGCAGGTGAAAGTGCCAGCCACCTCGGCATCAGGAACGGGGTCTACCCACAGCACTCCAGTCCCAGGCACCACAAGCACTACTTTAAAGACAGATGCACAGAACATGTCACATTTTATGGACCACAGAAATACATCAGGGTAGTTTTGTGCTTCTCCAGAAAAGCGACAGAGAGGTGGTGGAGAAGCCTTGCCCTGTTTACAGCCTCCACAGAAAAAAGAACATAGATTAATCCAATCACACCTTAGGGAAAAAAAAAAAAAATTGTTTTAAAAACATGGGATGAAATTCATCACCTATGTAATTTAGCTCACTCTACATACGTAAATATTTTCCACTTTTCTGATACCTCTGTGGGCCTTACATAGACATTTATATGAGCAAAATCTTACATTTTTACTGTCGAGATTTTATTAATTTCTGCTGCTCGTCTCCCCCAGGAAATCAACACTCCACTTGTGTTACCGGGATAATTTCCTCAGTAATGGAGTTGTTACTGGTAAGGTTACTGTTCTAGTTGAGGAATAAACATCACACTTAATTTTGAAGGAAAACCCCAATATTAAAAAACAAAAAAAAAAAAGGAAAAAAGGAAAAAAAGGAAACAACTGCTCTTCACTTAAATTTCTCCTCACATCATAAGAATTTTAAGTAAAAAATGGAAAAAGGAATACCACTAACAGAAACATCAAATCACTGATTACCAATGTTAGTTATAGGTCTTACCAGTCTACCACAATACGCATCTTTCCTCCAGTGTGTTTGAATCAGGTGAAATTTTCTCCTTATTTCTATAGTCCCCAATGAGTCTAGTCAGGGGGAAGCATTAAGCCTGGTTTCAGGAGAAAACAAGGTAAGTTGTGCATCTCTAGGAGCGACTGATGAAGACTTATTCCACTTGACATTGTAAAGAGGTTGGGATGTGATTATGAGTGACAGGATGAAAGGTAAGAGCAGGCAGAAGTAGGGTAAGACACCTAATTAACAACAGAAAACCAGGCACTTTGCCCTGCAGGTAGGCATCACTGCCAGTTCACGTGGCAACATCTGGCATCCTGATACAAGTGGTTAAATACCAGAGCCTGGAGCTCCCACCTCATGCCGACAGACACCTCCTTTCTGCTTACTGGTCTCCGCTCTCAATCTCTTTGTACCACACTCGAGGGTGTACTGAGAAGGTATAAATCCCAAATGGCTTCAGAAAGTGACCTTTTGCCACACACACCAGTTATCTCAATTTTGATTTTTATTACGTGGACAGAGAGGTTGATATTGGGGGGCTGTGGGGGGAAAGATGGCCGAAGATTCACACCAAAAATCTACAGTGGTTATTTTCTTCCAGGTTATTCCTCACATTTCAAATCATTGGTGGCCAACTGAAGTCCTTCCATGGTGAAATCAGTGAGAAGTTTCTGAAATAAAAAAAATTAAGAGATTCTGCTGAAATACCACAACAGCACAGACTGTAGAAAGACTTTAATGGTTGCAAATCCGCCCCTCAGACCGAGAAGAGTTCACCTGTCTGATATTTTTAAAAGTGTCTTTCTTTCTCTTACTCAGCTGTTGGTTATTCCTTTAAAAAGTTAAAAAGAATGGAGAGGAAGCAGATGATGGGAAGCAAAGGAAAAATAAAAAATGCAAGGAGAATGGAAAAGGAAGAGAAGAAACCTTGGATGTCAAAACTAGAGACAGTAAGGACCTAGCAATCTCAAAGCTGAAAAATAAGGAGAAGAATAACATTTTTTTTTACACATCACAAACACTATATAATGAATAGCCATTCAACCCATACTACTATAGCATAGCTACATCTCGTAATTGTTTTGTTATGTTGCGAATTTTTTCCCGTTACATTCAGTCAGGACCCCAGTGGCCTCCAAGTTACAGAGTTCATGTGAGGTACCAGCACAACCTGATGGTTACTCTTTTCTGAGGGCTCCAGAAACACTGTTCTGGGCAGCTCTTATTCCCCCTGGTAATTATACTCTCTGCTTAAGTAAATTTTAGGCCAGGTTTTCCTGGTAAGCACTGTAAAAGGCAGGTGAGGTTTTCTGGTCATAATTCTGTACAATTTTTCTTGCTTCATTTTGTTTAAAATTAGTGGTTAAATGTCAAAGGATAGAGAAAATATTTTTTTTTATTATTGTATCAAAGTAGCAGCTGAAAGAGGTTCGGCCATAGGATGATACTTTCCGTGGCGCTGCTGGAAGACTGCTTTGGTTTGCTTTGTATCTTTTAGATTTTTTTTTCACGCTAGCCAAAAGATGCTCCTGCCTGTCCCAGATAGACGTTCCTGCTCCTTTGCCTGTGTCCTGCTGATCGCATGGCTCTAGGACAATTTGTTTCAGCTCAGTGGTCCAGACTGAAAACTTTTTGGACGTCTTCACGCATTGGATGGTAGAGCTGAACTGCCTCACTCTCCGGCTGCGGAAGCATTGCATCCAGCAAAGGGAAGCGACAGGAATAGCACAGCCAGGGAAAGGAGGAGCGATAACGCATGTCATCAAGAGATTTGTCTCCTCAAAACCATGACCCTACGGGGCTGTCGCGGAGGAAGTGTTCCTGCAGGGAGCTACTGCAAAGTGACAGCTACGCTTCAAAACCAGACATGCCAGCTTTTATTTTGCAGTAGTCCTGCAGATAAATGCTTAAACCGACATTGGGTTTTGTCATCTTGTTCTACATTTGTAGAGCATCTGGCACTCGGGAGTCCTGGTCTAAGGAGAACTTCTAGGCACTGAAATAATGCTGTTTTCACTGATCTCAGCATTTTTTAGTTTGGGATCCCTTGCTTAACCTCCAGAACAAATAATGATGTGCTGCCAATGCTGCAATAAGGAGCTTTCGCAACAACTTGAGATTAACCCTGTGTTTTCACAGAGGAACACCACCACTGCTCACTCTTCCATTTGAATAAAAACACCCTTTCACAACATGAATACAGAAGCATGATCATCTGGCCAACAGATAAAGTTGCACTTGGCCAGTAATGCTTAGTTTACTCTCAAATCTAAAGAAACTGAAATTATCGTATTAGCTCTCCATTTATTTTCTATGATTTAAAAAGCTTTCAGTAGGAATGCCTCAGTTTTCTTACTTTTTTTTTTCCTGACATTTGATGAAATCAAATTCATTTCAACACTTATAGTTGTTCACTTCAGCAGTTTTACAACCACTCCAGGACATCATTCTTGGCAAGTCTGCTTTAATCAGCAACCAGAAAATAATAATTTTGTGGTGAGGAAGGATGACCTTATCCCTCAAAATCAGTGGCACCATTGACCAGAAAAACTCACCTGCCTTTTACAGTGCTTACACATCCAGACCTCACAGGACCGCTAGAATACCCACGTGGGGTCTGGCCAGGGGTCTGTTACCCGGTATCCTGTGCCTGACAGTGAGCACGAGTCGACTGAAAACCCTAAGAGATGCTTTTTGCTTTTCACATACTTTAAAAAAAAAAAATTTTACATCCTAACATTTGTATAAGCTTAAAAGCAGTCTTTCATCTGAAGGTATGGTTGCACAATATGTGGTCCCCTGGTATCAGAGCTGACTGCCACCCAAGCAGGAAGCCCTTCACGTCCTCCCCCTCGCGTCTGCACCAGCACAGCCCCATCAGCTCCCTGGCCCCAGCTTTGGCACTGAGTTGGACCTTACGCAAGCTTATCTAAATTTGCCAGCCCACCAGAAAACTATCCATTTCTTTGCTGTGGGGTTAGCAAGTTAAATTATAGCCTTTATGTCAGCCAGCGAGTGCTGGAGCTGATAACTGGAGCAGGGCTGGGAGGAAGGGCACTTCCCGCTTTCGCCAGCAGCGAGCCATCACACCAGCTCGGCCCGAGGCAGCAGACTGCAGCTCCAGAGCAGCCTAAACCCATCCGACCTCTGGTGTCTCCTCCTCTCCAACCAACAGCCATCGGGACTTTCCGTGACTCATTTCAGATGTTGAACTAAAAAAAACCAAAACAAAAAACCCACAAAAATCCCCGACTAACTTCCCTCCTCCTCCCAATACAAAGCCCTAACCAGCTTCGCATTCCCAAGTCAAGGGCCCTGCTGAGCACCGAAGCTGCTGCAAGGAGGATGGGACCATGCGGCCAGGACCAGGGCAATCAACTTGTTACATAGGCTTCATCTGCCAGCAGGGACCTCCAACTTAACCACGCCACCTCAGCACAGATCTTCATGACCAAGTCCTTCTGCGCAGAGCGTGCAATGCCTTTTTTTTTTTTTTTTAAAACCAAACACGGATTGGCAGTCTTCTTTCATGGCACAGTACACATTGCTTTAATTCTATATTCCCTAGAACTAACATAAGCCAGTGCAGTAGAGTATTAGACTGCAAGGGCGCGTAACAAACTGGGATTTAATGACATTTTGTTTCAAACCAGCAGTCAGTGGCTGGCTCACAAAGGCGCAGGGCTGTGGATCACTTCTGCTGTGCTCACGACAAGCAGGAGAAGGCGGCTGAAGCAATTTTGGGAGCAGTATGGCAGAGAGACAAAGGGTGTAAATCTAATAGAAAAAAACAGTTTGCTGGATTCAGCAACCAGATAAAGGTATCGACAATAAGGCAGAACACTCTGCTAACATATGTCTTTCCTTTCTTGAAGTATGCAAAGAAAAAAAAAAAAAAAACATTTCTAGGTTAATCACAATTTTTTCGAGGAAGAGAGCAGAGCTCTCCATGTTCTTCTTTAGCATAAAAACATTTTAATCAACAAACCTGGACATTTCTGGGTAGTAGCTTAGGTTACAAATCCACACTGAGACGGCCAGTCAGCATCATAAGCAAAAATCTTGCCTGTGGAGTGTTCACATTTGCAATATTATAAATAAGTACCTTATGCAAATTTGTGGCTGACATACGGCTAAGTATTTGGTGAAAATATTTTTTTATTTTGCTTATTGCTTACCAAATATTTTAGTATTTGATTATGTAAGAGGACAATACTGCTACCAGATGTTCTTGATTTTATTAATAATCTGTGCTGACAGCACGTTGTGAGATCAGTGCTGTCTGTACTATGTGGTTCAGAGAGATTCCCCTCACCTTCCTACATTGGTAGTTGGTACAGGCTAATCGGCAAATGACCTGCAATGTCATTTTTGTCATCAATGTAAAAAAGTGCATATAATCAAATCAACCCCCGTTCAAGAGGTTTCAATTCCAACCCAAACTATTCAACTACTTTGCTTCTGTCATGAACCTCCACTGTGAAAATTAAGAAACCTTCTAAAACAACAACTTCTGCATTTATAACTGTCCCAGCACAGCGCATGTCTACCTCTTTGACGACTCCTCCAGCCATCGACTCGTGCTCACGTCAGGCACAGGATGCCGGGTGACACAGGCCCCTGGCCAGACCCCACGTGGATGATATTCCAGCAGTCCTGTGAGGTCTGGATGGGAACAATTTAAGCCTCAGGATCTGGAATTTTTTTCTGGCTCAATTTGCCCATGGTGCAAGTTATTCTATGTACCTCAGTTTCCTTATTTTAAAACTACAGATTAATGCATTTCCCACTTTGGAAAGAAAAACTGATGGAAAATTATATGGAAGTTAAGCTAGTGTTTTCCAGCTGGATCCAAAAGTCCTTCCCTCTTATCATAATCTACCTAAAATAGCTCTCAAACAAACTGAAGAAACTTTGCCAAGTTACAAAAGGGTTCAAAAATTCACAAGCTAAGCATGAACACGATAGAGTACTTTCTAATACTCAGTAGCACACTTTGTCATACCAAATGAAAACGTTCGTGAAAAATTAACACTTCAATATATGGAGTTCTATTGCGACCTCCTGCTGCTGATGCTCTACAGAAAAGCAGAACTGCCACGTTTTCATAACTTAGTGAAATATTGTTTTATTGTTCAGACAATGCTCTTCATAATTAGACCCTTAACACAGCATTGCTCTCTGTGCTGAAGAGATGAGGAAAATAGCACTGAGATGACATGACTCACTACACATCACTGCAGTAATTAAACTGGGAATAAAGTCCAGCTCTTCGGCATCCTAGACTACCGCTTTCACTTCATCAGGCAGGTTTTAGAATTTTTTTTTTTGAAAAAAATAATATGGCTTTAATAACAAAATGCTACCCTTCTCTTTTCCCAACTCAGGATTAAAAAATCCAACAACCCTCATGCCTAACATGAAGAAAAAAATCAAGTTAGTTGGGTAATACTAAATGCACCTTAAAAATTACAACAATGTTCTTTAGTTGTTTGGTCAAATATCATACAAGAATCATAGAATCATAGAACAGTTTGGTTGGAAGTGACCTCTGAAGATCACCTAGTCCAACCCCCCCTGCCGTGGGCAGGGAGATCTTCAACTAGGTCAGGTTGCTCAGAGCCCCGTCCAACCTGACCTGGAATGTTTCCAGGGATGGGGCATCCACCACCTCTCTGGGCAACCTGGGCCAGTGTTTCACCACCCTCAGCGTCAAAAATTTCTTCCTTCTATCTAGTCTAAATCTACCCCCCTTTAGTTTAAAGCCATTCCCCCTTGTCCTGTCGCAACAGGCCCTGCTAAGAAGTTTGCCGCCATCTTTCTTATAAGCCCCCTTTAAGTACTGATAGGCTGCAAGAAGGTCTCCCCAAAGCCTTCTCTTCTCTAGGCTGAACGACCCCAACTCTCTCAGCCTTTCTTCATAGGAGAGGTGTTCCATCCCCCTGACCATTTTTGTGGCCCTCTTCTGGATCCGCTCCAACAGGTCCGTGTCTTTCTTATGCTGAGAATGAAACACATTCACAAGTCTGATTACCTTTTCCTTCATGCAGAACTTAAGATGGTCAATCACGACTGATGAAACTCAGCATCCAGACAGCCACCAGCACTAGCATAGGTCATGATGTTCTCCTCTCTCACCCCTTGAAACAGCTCCATTTCTGGAAGTGTTTCAGAAGAGTCTTGGTTCTCTTGGCCATTTTTATTTAGATCTTCAAAACTAATACTATCATCTAAAAAAATAAACAAGTTATGAACTGCAGCCAAAACCACCTGAAATGATCATATTATCTTATATAGTCTGTCATTTACATTAGCTCAGAATAGAGTATTTCTAGAACAAGCTTTCATTTCATCAAAATATTCCTGATTTTGCCTCCTAAACAAACTACAAAATAA